CATGTCCTGTGGGATAGGGATGGTCAAATTTTTTGGTAGAGTGCCATTGCACCAAAAGAAAAATCCAGCGGGGGCAAACGTATGATTGGGTAATATGGTCTGGTTACAAAAGGGAAGGGAAACACTAGAAAAGCAAAAATCAAACTTGGAGCGGCCTGGGTCAAGAAACAAGGGTACTTCAGGGATGGGGCGGAAGCCATGGGAATTATCAGTGGTGGTGCAATTAAGGACCTGAGGCAGGGGTACTGCTATCAGGGGAGGATGTCCCAAGGCTGCACAGAGGAAGCATGATGCGAGATTCCCAATGCCAGTAACATTGGCAAACACAAGGCCTTCTCGGAGGAGGGAAAGCCAAGAAAATGGAGAGGAGGGCGATGATAGTTGTGTCATTAAATTTTTTTCTTGTATAAGGATATTATGATGGACCGTAGATTGTACTTGTACATAAGAGTGCCAAATGTAAAGTCTGGAGCTCGGCCATGTGACTGTTCGGGTCGTATACATGGCTCCTTCTACTGGACTAGTCCATCATGAGTCCCACAGGTCCCAAACCACTAGGGAATATCCTGTAGATGTTTTATAAAATTTAGGGCCATTCCATTCTCTCTCAATTACCTGTCCCTTAGCAAGAGGAATGGCATCATGAATTTTGCAGTAAGAATAGGGGCATCCTATGCTTTTCTCTTTCAAATAAGTTTTGCAATGGTGAACAGTCTGATCATACAAAAAACAGATAGCAGGAGCCACCTTGCCGGGGGAATTATGGAAATCAGTAAAGTTAAGTAAAATGGGATTCTGACATCCTTGCAAGGGGCAATCAGTGGTAGCCAACAGGTGACCGAAGGTCTGTGTTTTAGCATAATTAGTATAATTTTCAGTCAAATAAAAGTGCCATGCAAATGGGGGTATGTCGACCAGTCTCTGGTCCTGATGAGAAGGTACAGACAGCAACAAGATCCAGAATATCCAGGAAAATTCTCCCAGTTTTTTCTTCATCAGCATCTGTAAAGAAGGAGAAGGAAAGGGAAACGACCTCAGGAGCTATCCTTTTCCCTGGGTGAGTGGTTAGAGTTGACTTGTTTAACTAATCTCTCAGGGAGCCAATGAGGACCTCCTTCTGTTTGATTATAGATTCATGCTGACCCTCGACCCCAAATCAGGACTGGGTCAGGCCCTTTCCACTGGGCAGTTAAGGGGTCTTGCCACATGACCAATGCTAGGTGGCTTTGAGTTTGTGGATGCCAAAAGCAATCCGCTGCAGACCTTTCATTCTTGTCCAAGATAAGGAAATTAAGGACAAAAAGGGCATGATGTAAAAGATATCAGGGGTTGCCTCAAGTATCATACAGGCTTCCCTTCTTTAATTTATGAAGCATGGATTTTAGAGTCTGATGAGCATGTTCAACGATGCCTTGGCCCTGGGGGTTGTAAGGAATGCCAGTAACATGCTTAATCTAAAGTTGTTGGCAAAAAGATTGAAAATTTTTTCCAGTATATACTGGGCCATTATCAGTTTTTATAACTTTAGGCTTTCCTAGTACAGAAAAGCATTGTAAAATATGGGAAATAACATTTTTAGAGGCCTCTCTGGCCTGGAGAGAGGCAAATATAAAACCACTAAAGGTATCAACTGTAACATGTATGCATTTAAGTTTGCCAAATTCAATTAAATGAGTAACATCCATTTGCCAAATTTCATTGGGAACCAAGCCTAGGGGGTTAACTCCCAGATGTTGAACCGGGAGGGAGACAGCACAGTCAGTGCAATTTTTAACAATTTCTCGGGCCTGTTCTCGGGTAAGCTTAAACAACAAACGAAGGGAATGGGCATTTAAATGGTGAAGAGAGTGTGCTTGGGCAGCCTGAGAAAGGGATCCTGCAAGAACAGGAAAAACTAATTGTGTGGCTGCATCAGTCAAAGCATTTCCTTCAGATAGAGGACCAGGCAATTTTAAGTGGGCCTGAAGATAGCCAATAAAAAGGGGCGCTGTCTAGCCATAATCAAGGAGCACAACTGAAGAAAAAGTGGAGCTGCATTGGTAGAGGGTTTAATAAAGGGAACAGTTTCCAATAAGGGAACAGAATGGGCAACATAAGCACTATCAGTATACAAATTAAAGGGCTGAGAATGAAATAATTGAAAACTTGAATGACTGCATAAAGTTCAACAAGCTGTGCTGAGGAATATGGGGAGAGGCAGGAGGTAGCCTTTCCACCCACAACATAAGCGCAACCCTGTAGCAGGAATCTTAAAGAGTCTTATTAATAAAATCAAACCTGAGGCCAGTTATTGGGGTCAATGCTGGAAGATCAGAGAAGCAAAACAAGCCACAGCTATCTCACCTCGTCAGTTCCTCAGCTGGTCTTGTTTCCTCAGACTGGAAGCTTCTGTGTCCTCATCCCATTGACTCTCAGCTGAACTGCTGCTTGAAAGCCTGAATGCTTAACCAGCCAAATGCTTAACCAGGCCAAGTGCTTCTAGTTTCTGGTCCTCATGCCTTTTATACCTTTCTGCTTTCTACCACCACTCCCTGGGATTAAAGACTCGCTTTCTGGGATTAAAGGCGTGAGTCACCATGCTTGGCTGTATCCTTGAACAGATAGATTTCTGCCTCTGGAATGCTAGGATTAAAGGCATGTGCTACCACTGCCTATCCTAAGTATCTAGTGGCTTTTCTGTTCTCTGACCCCAGATAGGCTTATTAGGGTACACAATATTTTGGGGAACACAATACCACCACACAACCCCATTGGCTGAGCCATCTGTAAATATCAGGGGCGCCTCCCTTATAGGTTGTGAGGCAGTAAATTTGGGGAAAACAAAGGGATGAATTCTGGCAAACTATAACAAGGGATCACTAGGATAACGGTTATCGATAGTACCAAGGAAGGAGGAGCAGGCAATGGGCCGGCCATTCATCATTTGTTTGAAGCAGCCAATCTAATTGTTCTCGAGTACAGGGCACGACTATGGAGTCAGGATCTTTTCCAAAGTATTGGCGACTTGTTTCTCTGCCCTTAATAATTAGTTTGGCTGTTAAAGATGGATAAGTGGCCAGCACCTTTGAGGGAGAGGTGGGTAGGTGGGCCCACAGTAGGGGATTCCCTCTTTTTTCTTCTCTGATGGTTATTTGTTGCCAGAAGACTAGATGTGGGGGGTTCAGGAATATTAATACTGACAGAATGACAGACAGAGAGTGGACAGGAGGACTCTTTGAGGGCTTTTTCTCCCTCCTTAATTAATTTTTGAACATCAGGGGGATGATTATAAGTTTTTAAGACATTATTAATTAAATTCCAGTAGGAAAAGGTTTGAACGGGGACCTTTACAGGACCAAAGTTCTGGTAAAAATCATTTAAACAATCACCGACCCGTCTCCAGTGCTTTTCATCTATGGTCCCTTCTTGGGGAAACCAAGGACAGACATCTCCAATATAGTCAAGAAATTTTTTTAAGTCTTTCTTTTTAACCCTAGTTCCTCATGTCTTGAGAGACTGTTTCAGTCCCGAAATAAACAAATCCTGTTTACTAAATGCTTGTCCCATGGTAAACTTGTGTCGTCACATTACAATTCCTCCGGATCTGTCTCATGGCTGGGTGTTTCCATGGCAATCACTGACTGGATCTTTGCTCGTGGAGCCGTCTTCCACGGTGGTCCAACTCTTAGGCAGGCCTGCCTTGGTGTGTGACGACGTTCACCACTCCTCCACGTCCTAGAGCCTCACACTGGGCGCCAGTTGTCCCAGCCAGCGGGATCTTCAGCAGAGATCCTAGAAGAGGGAATGGCAAATGAAAGGGACAAGAGACACAAAGAACTGACAGCAAGGCAGTATTCTGATCAAGCTGCAAAATTTTATTTTTCTCAGGTGGGTTTTATAGAAGCAGACCAGGAAACTTTCTTTGGGAAAAGATTAGGGGACTGTTGAGTTGCCAAGCAACCCAACCAAGCAACCTAACCACAAAACATTGTTACTAATGGTCACTGTAGCATTAGTAAGGAAATGTTAAGCTATTTTCTAATAACTCAGGACTTGTCCAGGCATGTCAAATGTTTCTGGTTAGTGGGTCAATACTGGACAACAGAAACTTAACTCAGGCAGGCAATATGGCATGGCTCTTAAAATTGTCCTCGGCAGTCATTGTCTTCAGTTGTGTACCACTGATGAGCCCACTAGCCTCCAACAGACAGTTCCAAAGCCATAGTCACATAGATAGCCACAGTTAAACTGAGCAGGTCATAAAACAACGAAAAGATAAGTCTGAGGCAAAGGGATTGTAGGGAGGGGTGAGGTGGGGTTGGCAGGAGTGGATGGGAGATAAAAGAAGATGTGGTGAGAGTAAAAACTGTATTATGTACATTATGAAACTTCCAAAGAACTAACTTAGTTAATTAAAACTTTCTATGGTTTACTCTCCCTCAACAGTGACTGGCAAAGTATGATATAAAAAAACAAATTCTATTCCTTTATTACTAGGAATGTTATTTCTTTGCTTATTCTAATAACTTGACTTTATCAAATTTTCTTAAATTTATGAAACCCTTTACAGTCTTTGAGTTTCAAATTCATCTCATCCTCCCTAACTTTCTATTTATACCATTATTTCTTAGATGACAGTCTAGATAATAATTAAATTACCCTTTAATACAGAGGGAGAGCTTTAGCACTACTATCCATTTTATTATGGTTTTATTTCCAGACCCCATTCTATAGAAAGTACAAAGTCTATGTGTATATTTAGGAAATTAAATAAAATTGGGAAGCAATATATTATGTCTCAGGAAGAAAATGTGCCTTGTTTTGTAATACTTCTGATCACTTTAACCATTACCAAACAATAAAGCTGCTGTATAATCTGGCCAGGTATTTTTCCATACTTGAACATTGACCTTTACACAGTCAGCATCTCTAAATCAGCCAGCAGGTGATTTGGGGAAGTATATATAGACCTGGCAAGAGACACAGAGAAAGAAAAGTCTGTGAGCAACCAGGAAGGAGTGATGGGACTCCCCAGGGGTTTTGTTTTCCTCCTACTCCTGTACCTGCTTCAGGAGTCAGACACTTCCTTGGTGAGGCTGAGTGAGAATGGCTATGAAGACGTTATCATTGCTATTGATCCTGCTGTGCCAGAAGATGAAACAATAATTGAACGAATAAAGGTAAGAAAAAATGGGCTTTCTTCTGCTTGAGTTATGAAGAATAAAAAGGTTAATAGCAGTTGTAAGAGTTACTATAGAAATCTCTGAATGCTTTGGGAAGTTTTAAAAACCATGTAGACAGTTTTGGAATGCATAGAGTGAGAGGAAGTCTCTAAAATGCTTTAGATAAAGGTTCTAGAGGTTCTAGAAGGGATTCTACCTTCTAGTCATGAGATCCAAGATCAGGCAATGCTCTAGATGAAGGTTCTAGATGTTCTAGAGGGGATTCTACCTTCTAATCATGAGATCTAAGACCAAGCAATGCTCTAGATGAAGGTTCTAGAGGTTCTGGAATGGATTCTACCTTCTAGTCATAAAATCTAAGACCAAGCAGAGGCCTCTCTAATCTTGTTTCCTTATACATAATTTAGAAGTTGGATTCATTCTGATTTTGTAATCTATTTATTTACTGTGTGTGTGCACACATATGTTTATTATATCCTTGAGGAAAGACTAGTAAATTAAAATAAAAAAGAACGATAAGGGTTTGTGTTCTTTTTTAGAGTCACCACTAATATAAAAATGAGTGGAATAGCAGAAGTGATGTTAGTAGGTTGCTGTGAAGTATGCAGAGTCAGGAAAGGGTAACTGAGCAGAGTGTGGCTGCAATAAACAAGAGTATAAGTAACTGTTTCCTGCAGGATACCCAGAGAAGCCTTCCCTCACGGTGTGACATCTGAGCAGACCCCAAGATAAGTAAGAGTAAAGATGAGAGCTTCATAGGGGTGATAGCATCTTATGTGGTCAAAGAAACATCAGTGAATAAGCAGAAGGGAGAGAGGCTTAAACGAAGCTGGGATAAGGCCACATGCAGCGGCAGAGCCCAGACCACTAGAAAGGACATTTTCACTTTTTCTCTGATGTGAGACTCCACAAAAGAGATCTTAGCAGAGGTTATGTACACTTTGCTGCCTATTCTAGGACCTAAACTATAGAAGGCTTGCACTTATCCCATGCACCATATAAATGTTGTAGTGTAGGGGTGCAGAACAACCCAGGCTGTAGCTGGTGAATAGGGATGTTGATTAGAACAATGAGGTAGCAGTAATGATTAAAGTGTATGATTCTGAATGTATTTTGAAAGTATCAAAGACAATTTTTTTGTTGACTTAGTCATGTGTGGGAAAGGTAAAGGTAGAAAGAACATGTTAAGAGGCAAAAAAAAAAAAAGCTTCACAACTTTGGCTTAAATACTTGGGTAGAATTTTTATCAGCTGGAAAGGAAAACTCTAAGTAAAGAGATGGACCAGTCTGGGGTAGTGGGGAGGAATTAGCTTAGTGTAGTTTCAGATTGAGGTGCTTTTTAGACATCCAGGATGAAGAGACAGGGATCTGAATCCAGCTTGAAATGTAAAATGTGTGCTTAGATAAAAATCAAATATTAGAATAGCTACACCAGCTTGTCTCTGAGGTCCATTTGATTGGAAAATCTTTTCCCAGTTCTTTACTCTGAGGTAATGTCTGTCTTTGAGGTTGAGATGTGTTTCTTATATGCAGCAGAAGGCTGAATCTTGTTTTCATGTCCATTCTGTTAGCCTGTATCATTTTTTTCTTTATTAAGAAATTTTCTACTCACTCCACATACTATCCACAAACCCCCCTCCTCCCTCCTCCCACCCCAGCCCTCTTTCCCAAGCCACCCCGCAAGCCCACATCCCCCACATCAAGGTCTCCCATGGGGAGTCAGCAGAGCCCAGCACACTGAGCCTAGGCAGGTCCAAGCCCCTTCCCACTGCACCAAAGCTGTGCAAGGTATCACACCACAGGTACCAGATTCCAGAAGCCTGCCCATAGACCAGCGACAGATCCCGATCCCCCTGCCTTGGTGCCCCCCAAACAGTTTGAGCCAAACAGCCATCTTCTGTATCCAGAGGGCCTAATCCAGTCCCATGGGGGCTCCACAGCCACCAGTCCACAGTTCATGGGCTTCCACTAGTGTTAGCCTATGTCATTTTATAGGTGAATTGAGTCCATTGATACTAAGAGATATTAATGACCAGTGATTGTTAATTCCTGTTATTTTTGGTTTTGGTGGTGGTGGTAGTAGTGTGTATGTGTTTCCTTTCTATGGGATTTGCAGGTGTGAGATTATCTATTGCCTGTGTTTTTGTGGGTGCAGCTAATTTCCTTGGGTTGGAGTTTTCCTTCTAGTACTTTCTGTAGGGCTGGTTTTGTGAGTAGGTATTGTTTAAATCTGGTTTTGTCTACAGGGTCTCTGACATCTCTCCACGACCTAAGAACACACTGCTATCTAAGCTAGATAGCAGGTGGACCATGGAGACTCTAAAGGAAATGCAGTCTTTGGAGTTAGATAATACACAACCTATACAGTTGTACACAGCAAGCCTATTGATTCAATCCATAACTCAATTTGAACCATCAGAACACTGTTATCTCATATGTACACAGAGCCCTGTTTTCCAGCAGAACATGACAGACTAAATAGCTCTCTTTAAAAATGGGAGGGTGTGTACAGGGAAAGAGAGAATTCTTTTATCCTCCTTCTGTGTGTGCTCAACAACTTCCAACTTGCTTTAGAGTTCTTTAATTTTTTTTTTTTGTTTTTTTTTTTTTTTTTCGAGACAGGGTTTCTCTGTGTAGCTTTGCGCCTTTCCTGGAACTCGCTCTGGAGACCAGGCTGGCCTCGAACTCACAGAGATCCGCCTGGCTCTGCCTCCCGAGTGCTGGGATTAAAGGCGTGCGCCACCACGCCCAGCGCTTTAGAATTCTTAAAAGCCTTCTTGCACTGGACCTTCATTTCTTTGGACTCTGGCCTTCTGACTAATCTCATGACTTCTCACTAATCAATTTGCTGACTTCTTGCAACACATATGAGTCAGAACACTGGACTCCGAGAGTGGATCAGGGGGAAAGATGGAGGCCTTGAGGAGCAGTTCTGATGTGGGCTTCTGTTATAGTTGGAGGCCCCAAAGGGATCTGTCCTGAGAGATACAGCAGTGGAAACTGAGATGACTCCTGAGAGAAGATATTATTACTTTTAGTTATTTTCCTTTATTTTATATTTATTTATATTTTACTTACCTCTGAGAGCCCTGATTGTAAGGAACTAGTTGTCTTAAGTGCTTTTCACCCATTGTTTACCTTTCTTAGACAGGAACTCTGGAGAGAGAAATTCTCTTACAAATTACAATAACTTTGAACTCAAGATCCTGGAGATAATTGGGTATTTTCACGTTGGGAGCAGAGCAACAATTCTGTGCTATAGAATTTTCCACTATACCCACCACCACGTGTCCACTCTTCCTACCTCTTCTAGGAGTGCAGAAAGAAAGCCCCATCCTGATAATGACTCCTGTGGACTATTCTCCTTAGCTTGCATCCACTAAAGCTGTTTTTGACTCAAGTTTCTTGAAATCAGGAATGACATCAAGCAGTCTTAGAATACCTCTTAGTTCATTCCAGATTTATGTCCATTAAATAAATAAAGTAGGGTCCATTAAATAAAGTAGGGTAATTGGGCTTCAGAGCATTCTATAAGTCAACCAGAAAGTAGTAATACAAATATTAGAAACAAATAAATGACTCGAAAGTATATGTTCTTATGAATCAATTTCTGTAATCACCAAGTACAAGCAGCTAGCCATCTTTTGAAATAAGAGGACAGAGGACTTGGCAGCCTTTCCAAGTGCAGGGTGAAGCCAGTTTTGAATTGGCAGGTTAGAAGTGTGGGCGGAGACCACTGATGAATGGTCTTAATGAATGACTCCTTTGGTAGTAACTACTAGAGGGAGAATGCCTGAGATGAGTGCTTGCAGCATGGCACCATTCTTGCTTGGCCATTTCTACCTATTCTTTTTCCCATTGACAACAGGAAATGGTGACTACAGCATCTACATACCTGTTTGAAGCTACAGAAAAAAGATTCTTTTTCAAAAATATATCTATATTAATTCCTGAGAGCTGGAAAGGGGGACCTCAGTACAGGAGGCCAAAGCAGGAGAGCTACAAACATGTAAGTGTCAACCTTTTCTCATACAAAAACAAAACAAAAAAACAATGTTTTCTGGTGCTTGCAAGTTTTGCCGCAAAGTGATTGATTCAGAGTCTTTCTAACATGTTTCTTCCGTTCTTCAAGTTTAATGATCTTTTTAACATTCTCAGGCAGATGTTAAAGTTGCACCTCCTGCCCTCCCGGGCAGAGATGAGCCGTATACCCGACAGTTCACAGAGTGCCAAGAGAAAGCAGAATATATCCATTTGACTCCTGACTTCATACTGGGAAAAAAAGAAAATGAATATGGACCTTCAGGTGAGGAGTTTGGTTAAAACATTACATGCTTGCAACAAGCAACTCTATACTCAGATGAACTAAACAGATACTGGAAGAGAAGTTCTTAGACCGGAATCCGGATTTCTCTATTGATTACCTGTGTGACATTAAACAAGTGGTTTTCTTTCTCTGTGCTTATTCCAGGTAGTTTAAATAGTCTCAAAATCCGCCAAATTCATGACGCAGTAGCCAGTATGAAGGCTTTTCCTTTCTCTATAGTCTATAACAGCATATCTCAATCTTTTTTCATTATCAGTCCCTTCAGGTTGTTATTCCCAACATTGCACCCTCAAAATATCTACACAGCAGTTACTGCATATATGACTAGGCTGTTGACAGGTTTGGTATTTAGAAAGTCATAAACCATTATAATATGTGAGACCTTTGGCTCACCAAGTACTGAAAACCAAATCCTAGTTAATGTGACTGTAGCACACATTCCATAAATGTTCCATTGATTTAACAGGCTATGGAATTAAAAATTAATATCCTATACAGAAATGTAATATCATCTAATACAAAAGCCTTTTATAAGCAAAATATAAACTTTAAGAGTTACAGAAAATCTAAACCTAAATGTAATCTCTGTGGTGTGTGTGTGTGTGTGTGTGTGTGTGTGTGTGTGTGTGTGTGTGTGTGTGTGTGTGTGTGTGTGTGGGAACTCGCACATTTGGGGAGGGGGTCAGAGGACAACTTGTAAGTTCTCTCCCCTTAACACATGGGGTCCAAGGATTGAACTCAGGTCTTCAGGCTTGGTGGCAAGCACGTTTACACACTGAACCATATCACTGGCCCAGGAATTTTTGAGATATAAAATTCTCCACTTGAATTATGATCATGTATTTGAAAAATTTCTTACAGGAAAAGTGTTTGTCCATGAATGGGCCCATCTTCGCTGGGGAGTATTTGATGAGTACAGTGAAGACCAGCCCTTCTACAGCGCATCATCAAAGAAAATTGAAGCAACAAGGCATGACTCCTAAGTATCCTGAAATGACCTCAAAAATAGGCTTTTAACTGCCCTATATTACTTTCCAATGACATGCATTCATTTTTCTCCCAAAGCAGATAACAGATGCAATATCACAGGCCTGTTTTATGTTTATTTTAGACCATTATCCTTGAAGATGATGACTGTCTGTGTAAAACACATAGTTTCAATGTCAAGCATTTGTTTGGCTATTTGACATATTTTATTTACATATCTCTCCCATAGATGCCAGAACTCACTTAGACCAGGCATATGCTGAGACATCAAACTTATTCACATTGCATAATGGGTGAAAGTGGCTAAGTACTGTTAAATGTCAGCTGGGTAAGAAATCAAGCAACTGCAAGGAGCCAATTCAGAACTTCTTTGAGATTTATAAAGATCATTTTAAAATATCAATGTAGCATCATAGCTAATAACAGACCACTATCTTGGTTCTGAAATGAAGAGATCAGAATAGTTGGGAGAAATTAATTTAAAACTTGGTGTTAGCAGTTTCATCAGTATTCAAATCCTCCTGGTTTGGGGGACTTGCCACAGGGTGAAGTGAACGGCACAGAACTAACTGCCGCACAAGCCCTATTGCTGAGTCTTAAAAGGTATTATGTGCATTCTGTTTCTGTCATGCTGCTGCTAAATGTCATTTCTGCCACAGAATATCATTACAACTGGTCATATAGATGGTATCATTATGTTCCTCAATTTTGGAAGAATAGTGTCATGGATGTATTTATGAGCTTCCCTAAATGACTAGATCAAATCTACAATCCACCTGCTGAATTTGAACTGCAAGCCAATGAGATGAGTTGCAGCTAAAGCCTGGTGTATCTGTTATGATCACTGCCTATGCCCATCCCATGCAATAACACACAAACCCATCATTCTTTATTCCGTTGCCTTTCTCGGCAGTACCTCACTCTGATTCCAGCCACATTTTCCTCTGGATAAAAAGATACTTCATGAATAATCACAGAACATGTAGTTTTGTGATGCTCTACTCTTTAGAGGATATCTTCTTTAAAAAAAAAAAAGAAGACTACACTGAACACCAAGCTATCTGGAATAAGTGGTTCACAAGCTCTCTCATCTAGGTTCCTGCCAGCAGTTACAAGGCCAGCAGGGGATGTCTAAAGAAAAGACCCACAGCTTTAATTCCAGCTGAGAACCCCATTGTGTATATCTGGAGCCCTCCCTTTAGGTTTTTTCATTACAATTTCTTGAAAAGCAGATGATTACTCTGATTGCCTGCTTAGCCTTTGCCATCAGCGAGGAAAGGTCATGGCATAGACACAAGAAATACTGTACCATAAACTCAGTGTGAACACACTTTTCAAATAAATGCCTGCTGTCTCTAAGATTCACTTCCATATTTTCAGGTGTTCCACAGGTATCACAGGTGTGAATAGAGTCTATAGATGCCAAGGAGACAGCTGTACAAGCAGAAGTTGCAGAACTAATTCCACCACAAAATTATATGAAAAAAGTTGTCAATTCTTCCCTGACAAAGTCCAATCAGAAAAGGCATCCATAATGTACATGCAAAGTATCGATTCTGTAAGTATACCAGTTGCTTGTCTGACTTCACTCATTTTAAAGTTATGATGATGGAGATGAAAGTAAGGCATTATACATTGCTAGGCAAACATTCACCTGAAGTCCAGTTGATCTTAAATATGACATGAGGATTAAATCTGTTAATGTAGAGTTCATTGAACATTGGCTGACACACAGTAAGTTAAGTACTCATCTACTATTATATCTTATTCACACTACTGTATATTAATAACTAGATAATTATTAACTATTATAATATTAAATCTACTTTAGTGTTAATTATATTTCACTTGAACAATGCATATTTGTTAAACACGTTTTGCTCCTCCTTTCATTTTTTTCTGGTTTTTTTTTTATTTGTTTGTTTTGAGACAGGGTTTCTCTGTGTAGCTTTGGAGCCTGTCCTGAAACTCACTCTGTAGACCAGGCTGGCCTCGAACTCACAGAGATCTGCCTGACTCTGTCTCCCAAGTGTTGGGATTAAAGATGTGTGCCACCACAACCCAGCTTATTTGTTTTAAATGTTTTTCATTGAAATTGAACCCTCCCTGCTATAACCTCCTTCAAACCATTCCCAAGTTAATAGCCTCTTTTTCTTTGATTACTGTTGATACATACATAATTATGTGTATATGCATGTATGTTTGTGCACAAATATATTTAAATACAACCTGCTGAGTCCGTTTTTGTTGATGATGTATATATCATTCAAGGAAGACCATTCTGCATTGGACAACTGATAAGGGGGCTCATCCTAGGGAGAATCTAATTCTCCTTCTCCCAGCAATCATCAGTAGTTCTTTGACTAGGGGTAGAACCCCTTGAAAGTCTACCTCTTCCACATTAACATGTCCATTGAAGTGGCCATTGTTTAGGACTTATTTAGGCAGCCATCTTTAGCAGACTGTTTCACAGCAGACTTCCTGGTATTCTTGCTCTTACCATCTTCCCACCCCCTTTATGTGATGTTTCCTGAGTCATAGATCCATAAAAAGCTTTTTCTTTTGGACCACAAACCAGCTCCCAAATCATGACATGGAGACTTATTATTAGTTATGAATGCTCAGCCTTAGGTTAGGCTCGTTTCTTGCTAGCTCTTATAACTTAACTTGTTTCTCTTTATCTACATTTTGCCTTAGGACTTTTTAATCTTTCTTTTTGTATATTTTACTTTCCTGCTGTCTCCATGTCTGGCTGGTAACTGCCTGGCTTCTGGCCCCAGGCATGTCCCTCTCTCCCTTGTTCTTTTCTCCTTCTTCTCTCTCATTCTTCTTGAGCCTAGATTTCTCCTCCTATTTATTGTCTCTATCTGAAAGCCCCCCCCCCCAATCCTTCTCTCTGCCTAGCTATTGGTCATTCAGTTCTTTATTAGACCAATCAGGTGCCTTAGGCAGGCAAAGTGAAACAAATGTAACACATCTTTACATAATTAAACAAATGCAGCATAAACAAATGTAACACATCTCTACACAGTTAAAGTAATATTCCATAGCATAAATAAATGTCACACACCTTTACGTAGTTAAATATTCTATAATAGATATAGGAACTGCAATGTATATGTATCCATTGGGGCTAGGCTCCACATGATCTGTTGACCTCTGCATGTGTCCAGTTGTGGTTTTCGGTAATGGACTCCATTTTCTGTAAAAAGAGGCTTCTTTGCTGAGGAGTGGCAGCTACACTTATCTGTGTATGTAAGGATGAGGGACAAGACACAAGTAACATCACAGTTGTTTAAGTGAGCCTCAAGAAATCATATTATTTTATATTTTTATTTACATAGGATTCTATGCACACAACACACACGTGCACACAACACACATGCACACACACACACACACACACACACACACACACACACACACAAAGACAGAGAGAGAGAAAGTTAAGACACTTGTGCCCCTACACAAGAACCACAGAATAACAAAAATTCTAGTACCATATGGAATAAACCTCCTTTCAAATGGTTTGTCAGAGTAGTCCAATCAATATATAGCCCTTGATTTTGTTTCATGGCTTGAGAATTAGCCTCTATTGCTGAATACACCACACGTTTAGGGCACAGTAATCAAATGACTCCAGCTGGATCTGACCGAAGAGCCTCCCTCCTGTAGTCTAGCTTCCATGGTTGCAGAAAATACTATGCAAGCTGCCAAGAGAAGGAAACAATTAAACAGTTCTCCAGCTGCAACACCTATGAACCCTGACAATGACCAGCATGGCAAGAAATGCATAAAGGTACAATAATGGTACTCACATGTTGGTGGCAAGTAACAGCTGTCTAATTGGATTTGAGTCGTGCTTGGCACTGTCAACATAGCCAGCTTCCATGGCTAGTGAGGTCATGGAGCTTAGCAAAGAAACGAATACTGCCACTTTGCTAGACTAGCGTGATTACTTTTACACTCTAACACTGAATACACTTTCACTTTGTTTTTCAGATCATTTTTTAATACATGGGATAGTAATTTTCTACATTTTACTATACTTTTAGGTGACTGAATTCTGTAAAGAAGAAAACCACAATCGAGAGGCTCCAACTCTACATAATCTGAAGTGCAGTTATAGAAGCACGTGGGATGTAATTAGCAGTTCTGAGGATTTTATTAACAGCATGCCCATGGAGACTCCACCCTCTCCACCCACCTTCTCATTGCTGAGAATCAGTGAAAGGATCACATGCCTAGTTCTTGATGTGTCTGGGAGTATGGCTGTAAGTTCATGGCTCATTTTTTTTTTTTTTTGGAATGTAGGAATAGGGATAACCAAATGGCAAAAAAAAACCCACCCTAAACACTACTTGTTATGTGGATTTTTAAAAATTGTATGATGTCATAAAGTACTATTACTTCTTGAGATCATGACCTGAAATATATTGGAGAAAAATATACTTAGAGAAAGATAGCTAAGAATAGCTAACCTAAGGGTATCCATTTTGTTCCAGAAAATGTATGGCTGAATGAGAAGCACTCTGATACCCTTTAGTGAGAACAAGATATTGAAATGAAATTGTTTTTAACCATGGATCCTCCACATAACAAAAAACGAAAAGGGTTATATTAGTGTGTGCTTAAACTCCATTTTAGATCAAGCAACAGGATTGATTGGCAGAATGCCTAACATGGTATCATTTTCTTTCGCAACTGTTCAAGTGATCTCCTCAGACATAAAAAGAAAAGCATCTCCGTGAAGAACAAATGGCTGTATGTAGTCATCCCTTCATTCTGTTATCATGCAGTGAATCACAGGCACTGTGCTAGACTTTGATAGCAGAGGTGCATGTGCTCGAGAAGTTCATAGTTCCCTTAGGCTGAACTGTGGAAGTATGTTCCTGTCAAAATGACATTTGGGAGACTAGGCGAGTTCAAAGCTGGTTGGGTTGCATAGTGAGAGCCTGTCTCTTAAAACAAACAAAAAAAATGCAGATTTTTTATAGTCCATCAATGCTATCTCTCCCTCTCACTATTACCTATCTACAAGTCAGTCCTGTCCTCCAGAACTTAGGAGAGACACTCATTTCTGCCAGGAGAAGGGCTGGGCTTGTAAGTGCTGTGTAGGTGCTAACCCTTGGCTAGTTCCAAACACTGCCTTTTGTATATCCCTGCTTCTGTATATTTTATTGACACTGCCTGTGCCTCTCCCGATCAGATGAAGAGTTCCTCTAGGATCATGCACCTCATCCAATCCAGAGTTCATAACATATGTGTAACCAACAGATAGCTGCTGGAATGGATATGAACCACAAATAAGCAGGTGTAATGTGATAAAACATTCAGAATGTCTGCACAGTGGCAGTGGAACAGACACGCTGCAGCAGAAATTAAAGCTTCAGCAATGAGGGGAGGTGGTTATTGACAGAATAACAGAGATTGGTGAAGTGAACCGCCATGGCACAAGAGTTTCTGGAAGACAGAAGAACACTACACACAAGTGGTCCAAGAAATGTCACTGAAGAGAGAAGAGATTGCTGGTTCAGAGATAAGGAGCCTACCCCAGGCAGCGTACTGGCAGATCCATATTTAAGGGCAAAGCAGGGCTGGTGGGATGCTCAGCAGGCAAAAGCATTTGCCACACTAACCTAACGGTATGAGTCCAATTATCAGAAGAGAATTGACTCCTCCAAGTTATCTCTGACCTCCACAGGGATACCATGGCGTGCGCGCACGTGCACAGAGGAAATGTAGACAGACAGACAGATAGACAGACAGAGATAATAAATAATAATAATAGAGGCAGAAGACAAATCAATGGGTAAAGGCACTGGCAGCAATGCCTAATGACTTGAGTTCAGACTCTGGAATTCAAATGGTGGAAGGCAAGTTGTCCTCTAACCTCTACGTGTGTGCCATGACATGTGTGCGGTGGCACAAGTATCCTTGAACACCCACACACTCACCACACAGAACAAATGTAATAAAAACCAGAAGAGGAAGAAGACAACAGCAGAGAAGCAGGCAAAGCAAAGCTGGAGATACGTAGGAGTTTTTGTTGTGATTTGGTTCAAGAAGTTCACAAGCAAATAAATTGGGGTATGGGCTGCAGGGAGGACCTAGAGAAAATAAATGCATGAAGTGTACCTCCTGGGCATTCATCTAGTTAAGAGAGACATGATTGCTGGTGAGTTACCAGAAAGCCAGGGCAGTTAGTCCACCGGTGGAGAAGCAGTGAGGAGAGGGTAGTAGGAGGGGGCGGGGTAGGCTGGCCTTCTCAGAACTAACTGGAACTCAAGTAAGCTTTCCCTTTGAGGAGTTGGTCAGTTCAGCTGTGTCTGGAGACCAGGTTGGGTTTTGAACCCTAGGTTATGAATGTACCTTAACAGCAGTGATTAGTGTGTGAATTGTCCACTACAGTGTGAATCTCTGCCTTGGTTGCAATGCAAGCTGCACCTCTAACTTGGGTACTTAGCAACTGGGAATCGCTCCTTCGTGTGTGTCTCATATTATATATGACCACACTTTATACACTTACCAGTTTTAAAAACACCACAGTTGCTCTCTTCGATAGTGCAGATGAATAGTTGTAGACAATTCTTGCCAATAAGCTTCATGCACTTCCTTTATGAGATCTGCTCTTACCTTCCAGTTGAAAATCAAGGGTTGTTTTCTTACCCTTTTTTCCTCAGGTTTCTGATCGCCTCAATCGAATGAACCAAGCAGCACGGTATTTTCTAATGCAGATCATTGAAAATAGGTCCCAGGTAGGAATGGTACACTTTAACCACCAGGCCAATATTAAAAGTCAGCTGATCCAAATAAACAGTGACACTGAGAGAAGCCAGCTTCTGGAAACCTTGCCTACAGTGGCCAGTGGAGGGACTTCCATCTGCTCTGGAATTCGAGCTGCATTTGAGGTGAAAATCTACTGCAAATGTGTTTTGTTCTTTGTTTTGCTTTTAGGGCATTAACTTGTGAGGTGCTACTCTTCTTACTTGCCTCCTAATTTTGACATAATTAATCTTAAAAGGCTCAGGACAAAGCACACAGAAAAAAAAAATCTTTGATATATGTTGTCTTAGTCCTGGGGAGGGAGAGGCACAAGGATCAGAATTTCAAGATCATCTTTGGCTAGACCATGCTGAGGACAGCATGGGAAACATGAGATCCTGTCTCAAGTAAATATAAATAAATAATTATCTCTAACTTCAACATGCTTAGAACATTCACTACTGTTTATTAAGCATTCAAGAGTTTTCTAATTTGGAGTCCATCACCAATTTGTGTTTTGTTTTGTTTTATGTTTTTTTGAGACAGGGTTTCTCTTTGTAGTCCTGGCTGTCCTGGAACTCACTCTGTAGACCAGGCTGGCCTCAAACTCAGAGATTCACCTGCTTTCACCTCCCAAGCGCTGGGATTAAAGTCATGTGCCACCACCTCCAGGCTTATCCATCATTTTTGTTTTGTTTTGTTTTTCGTTTTTTGGTTTTTTCGAGACAGGGTTTCTCTGTGTAGTTTTTGTGCCTGTCCTGGATCTCGCTTTGTAGATCAGACTGGCCTCGAACTCACAGAGATCTGCCTGGCTCTGCCTCCCAAACAATGGGATTAAAGGCATGCACCACCACCGCCTGGCTAATCCATCACCTTTTAATGCTGATGTGGATGCTTAACACACCCAGCTGTCTGTACAGTGGATTTGGTATGCTGTAGGCTTGTCAGAGGACACCAGGGGAAGAAAATGCAGCCCATATTTGGAGTATCTATCTATTTGCCTGGGTTTTCTGGGGTCAGATGCCACTTTCATTTAGTCATGTGTATTTCCTAATACTGGATCCCATCTATCTTTCATTTGAACAAATATCTCCTGCATTCAGGGGACAGAAAAATAATATGTTTATGTTCTCCAAGGATTATTGAGTGTAAATTCTATGATTCTAAAAATAGAAATTATCTCTTCTATCCGACACTTTTTCTATACAGTTTCTTTTTTTTTTTTTAATTTCCTTCAGGATAGCTGATCTAGTATGATAATGGTATTCTGAATTATGCTTGCAGGTATTTAAAAATGGAGGTTTCCAAACAGATGGGACTGACATTGTGCTGCTGACTGATGGAGAGGACAGTACTGCAAAAGACTGTATTAATGAGGTGACAGAGAGCGGCTCCGTAGTTCATTTCATTGCCTTGGGACCATCTGCTGATATCGCTGTAAAAAACATGAGCATCCTAACAGGTGAAACATGATGTCCATATTACCGACTTCCGATTGCTCTATATAAATGTAAAAGTGATGCTCAACTTCTTCTAAGCTCCATTCTGCAAAAGTCAGGCCAGGGATTGGAGAGCAAAGTCAAACAGACCCATCCTCTTTCCTCATCACCTCATTGTCCAATTGGCTAGAAAAGACACATAAAACTGTCGATCCAAACACATGGATCACATGCCTTCATAAGAGGAAGAGTATAGAATAAAGTTTAATTGAGACAGACAAGCCTTCCATGCTCCCAAAATGTTATAGAGGGGAAAGGAAAGGAGATATTTGAAATTAAGTGGCTTCCAAGCTGGGCCATGAACAAAGTCTGGGTTTTTTCCAGGAACAAAAGTCAATGAGAAAATACAAACTTTCTCAATAAACATTAACTATGGTAACTGTTATTTTAATATAGAGATGTGATGAAAACTGATTACATACTTCTAGTACCTCCTTAAACATAGTAGAGAATGCAGAACCAGTAATACAAGTATCAGTTGCTATACTGATTTGGCTTTCATGGTACCAAATATGTATACTTGCTTTTTTGTGGCTGGCTATACAAATTCCTACCATTTCAAACACTTTTATGGCCATTTGTACAATTTATTTTTGTCACAAATATTTTGACTGATAACGGTATGTTTGTAAACTTGTCCCCACTGCTTATCACTCAATCTCCACAGTCCAGTTATTGTCGAGACATCTCAATGCAGCAGCTCTTTCATCTTTCCAATTCTCTGCTTCTAATCTGAAAAAAATTCTAAGTGATGTAAATAAGAGTTAATAATTCCCCTAGAGGACTTTATAAAATCTTTGAGAACTGTAGTACCTTCCATAGTCTATAACAAAAGGACACACCTCATTCAACAGAGGTATCTAGACTGAGGTAATAAGGTGGGTTTTGCTTCACAGTTAGGATGTATTAAATTCAATTAACATTTCAGAGATGATCTTAACAGTTTTCTGACAATTTAATTTGATCTATGTGGAAACTTTGGCTTTATTTTAACTGTTACCTTGTTAATCATTAAAATGTGATAAATACACCTGTTCTGTAAAACAATATAACTTATTCATTCACATTTTAGGAGGCAAGCATTTATTTGCTTCAGATCTAGCCCAGAACAACGGTCTCATTGATGCTTTTGGGGTTCTTGCTTCAGAAAATGCTGATGTCACCCAGAAGTCACTTCAGGTCAGCGTTGTTCCATCCCTAGAGGTCTTATGGTTGCTTTTGCCATAACTAAGAAAAGGTATAAGGGCAGAATACTTGAAACCATGCAAAAAGGAGACATAGGTGTTGGCTTTTCTTTTTTTAATGTTTAGAAAGAATAGAAATAAATTCTGTCTTTCTCACTTGAAATATCTATGGTAAGTTCTTAAAAAGAGAAAAAACAAAAAGAAAGTACAAATTTTCAAAGTCAAGCTGTATTTTTATGCATGATGGATGGAAATGATTGAGGTAAATAGTGACCAGTTAGAAGCATGGTACCATCATCTGAGTTGATGGGAATTTGGGGTTAGCAGTGGCACCTGGAATACAAAGGAAAAACTGTGCCCCACATTTATTTCTCCTAATGCCATTGTGGGACCAAAATGACCTTGTTTTCCAAGACTTTGCTGATGAAGAGATAAAATGTGTGGGTGGCATTCACATTCAGATTCACTCTGAATCCATTTAAAGACTTGCCAGCTTAACCTGGAAGTAAAACTTTAGACAATGGAGTGATGCTTTAAAGAGTTTTCTTGCTCCTATCAGGGTCGAAGGTTTGAGATGGAGTAGAAAAGATACATTCTATTCTTCCTAAAATGGCTCCCCTAGGAAGCACCCACATGGGTAAAGCTGGATAAAGTAGGACTTCATGTTAGATGAAATAAACAAGACACAGAAAGATGAGGTGTGTGGCCTCATGTACATGTGATATCCCAAATAGCTGAATTCATAGAAAAAAATAAAACCATCATTAGCATCAACTGGTAAAATGAGAGAGATGCTAGGAAATAGATGCAAACTTTCAGTTAGATAATCAGTAAGTCCAGGAGAGGTATTACATAAGCATACTGAGTACTATAATTAATAGCATGTATCTAATATTTGGTGCAATAGATTAGAAAGTGAATTTAAGTATTCTCAATGTATAGTGAGGAAATGGTCATGCTAATTAGCTTAAATTAGCCCATTTGTACTGTTTCAAAACATTATGTTTATATGATAAACATGTAATTTTGTGACTTTTAAAAAACAAATTAATATGTTGGCTCTTCTCAACAAGAATTATCAACCAAGATGAATGGCTCCTCTCAGAGAAGTCCCTGGTTTTTGTTTTCTCTCTTCCCAGGATTCTATCCTTCACAACCAGTTTTCCCTCTTTTGGACAGACTCCATTCCAATTGCTTCACTCTCAATCCCATGTGAAAACATCACTTACAGATTCCCCATTAGCAATCTATCCAAGAGTGCTTGTCTCAACTGTCTTTTCTGTCTTCCTAGGGACTGAGTCTATAGCTGCCAATGTGCTGGGCAAGTGTCCTGTCACATCCCAGCCACTTACCTGACTTTGCTTTTCTTTGGAAGCCTTTACTCTGCCTCAATTAAGATATTCTAATTACCCCAAGTGTTGTCTTTTGGGTCATCAGCCAGATGAATAAGCATGCCGCCTATACACATCCTCTATACATATACACACATACTAATCCTCTGTGGCTTTTAGTATCCTTTAATGCCAAAAGTCAGCATGAGCATTTTCCTAGAAAACTAAGAATGTATAGCAAGGTCACAGTCTCAACTTTTTAACTGATGTTTCCACTTTAAATCTCCTGTTATACACTGCCCTTTCTTCAGCTCCTGGATTTCCAACCTTGCAACTGTCACATTGCAATAAGCCTTCAGGAAGGTGGCGAATCCATTGGTAGGAAGAGACAGGGAGATTGCTAGGAGTTTGAATCCACTCTGGTACATAGGGAGACCAGGCCAACCATGACTACATAATAAGAACCCTTTGAGAGAGAGAGAGAGAGAGAGAGAGAGAGAGAGAGAGAGAGAGAGAGAGTCTAAGATAGTTCAGCATATGTAAGACTGTTTCCAGATCAAATGTAAAGAATTATCTCTAGAAGACAAAAGAATAAAGCTACTTTCTTCTGTAGTCATTAAGTTTTGTTGTTATTGTTGTTTGTATTTTTACATTTATACAGCTTGAAAGTAAGGGAGTCGTGTTGAGCAATGGTCTCTGGCTGAATGACACTGTAGTGATTGACAGCACAGTGGGAAAGGACACATTCTTTCTTGTCACCTGGATGAATGCAGCTCCTGGCATTTCTCTATGGGATCCCAAAGGAACACAAATCACAAATTTCACAGTGGATGTGGCTTCCAAAATGGCCTATCTCAGCATCCCAGGAACAGCTCAGGTAAGCCACTTGCTTCTCAATTTTCACTGAACAAATGTTTTTCTAAAGAGGCTCTAAAGCCACCATGAATATGAGTGACAACAATTTTACCATCTTCAAAATGAAAAAATCTGTAAACTTTCATTACCTGTGTGACACTGAAAACTATAATGTCCAGGAAAAAAGTAAAAAGAATTTATGGATTGAGAGAAAAGAGAAGGGGTGTGTGAGAACACTAAGGGAGGAACATGGAGAGTCTGTGTGACTTGGTGTGCCATCTTTTCTCATTGTTCCTCCCAGAGTCACAGAGGCTGTGACACTGAGGCCAAAGCCAAGGCAGACTTATCAGAACATTATTTTCCAATTGAGAGATTACAAAAGGTAGATACCACGAGCACAACATTAGCCGGGCTCCCCGCCTGAACTGTCTCAGCTTCAGTAACTGAAGAATTAAGACCTTTTAAAACCACAAAGCTTCTCTGACCTATTTTTAAGTCACATAATGGAAAAACGATGGAGTTGGACTCTAATTGCTTGCTGCATGTTTCCATTGAAAATTTTAGGTGGGCGTTTGGACTTACAGCCTGGAAGCCAAAGCAAACCAAGAAATACTAACAATTACAGTAACCTCCCGGGCAGCAAACTCTTCTGTGCCACCAATCATTGTAAATGCTAAAGTGAACAGAGACACTAGCAGTTTCCCCAGCCCAATGATTGTTTATGCAGAAGTCCTACAAGGGTACACACCCATCATTGGAGCCCACGTAACAGCTATCATAGAATCAAATAGTGGGAAAACAGAAGAGCTGGAGCTGCTGGATAATGGTGCAGGTAAGCCACACCACTTAGGAATAAGCCTAAATTTTTGTAGTTCAAAATGTGTCCTGGGTTCCTGGGGTAGTGGGTACAACAAGTTGGGATCCTGAAGAAGTAAGACAGATTCTGAAGGAATAGCAAGACCAGGAGGAAATTCAATCAGGTAAGTCCTACAAAGTGCTTAGCAAGCATCCTGCACATGATAAGCATTCAACAAATGCCATCTCCTGCCAAAATTATGTTTGTAATCTTGACAGGCAATGCCTGTCTCCAGCAAAGAGAGGCTCATTCAGAAGGCTGAGAACATAAGCAAGAATTCTAGGTACACGCTTCTTAGGGGAGCATCACCCAGAAAGCGCAGTCAAAGGAGGTGATGCACAAGCAATCAGGCGAGAGGGGTAGTGGAAGCTGGCATCCCGACAGGGAAAGGGAGCGAGTCAAGAGTGAGTCCCCACGGCTGGAACAAAATGAAGAATCACGGGGGCCAGGACTCAGGAGAGGCACCACAGAGAGGAAGGCTCAGCACTGCAGCATCAGATGCCAGGTCTGAGGAGGGAGTGAGGAGCTGAATCGGCCGTCTGTCCTCTGGTCTGTAGGATGAGTGGGTTCTGTGAATGGAACCTTGTGTTGAAGTCAGTGGATAAAATAACAAGTCTGGTCCACACTTGAATTAGTAAGGATGTCTATCAGTGCACTTTGCAACGTCATTTTACAATTTTGTCTTCAGCTGTATTTGACTGTTCTTGGGTTGACTTCCATGTTTTCTTTGATTGCAACGATAATTCCACAACAACCTCTTGCCTCTTCGAAGTCCCACAAACCTGTCTACACTGCAAATCACTTCATGGTTCTTGCTTCATTTGCTTGCATTTTACTAGATGTGCATTTAGTTCATTGGGAAATAAGCTAATTTGAAATGCCTTTACTGGAAGAAAAAAAAAAGACTTTGACTACCAGTAGCTGAGGCAGGTGTCGTCATATTTTTTTATACAGAGGAATCATCTAGAGGACTTTCTAAAATGAGAAATTTTTAGGAAAGGCACTTCCCTGGATAGTCTGGGAAATTTGTATGTCTGAAACTCTCTAGACTTCTGATCTGATCAGTATCCAGTACAGATACTGCTAAGGCAAGGACCTTTCTTTCTCATGTCCTGGTTAGAATGGGAAATACATTTTGCAACTTATCAGGTGACTCTAGCACTTGTGATTTCAAGAGTGTACTTGTGATACTGCATTCCTGAGATCCTACAAGCATTAATTCCAGTAGTAAAATGGGTTTTCCTCTGTTGGACTAGAGAAATAATTGATTGAGAGAACACAATTTTTTTTTTTAAAAAAAAAGGTAAACACAGAAGTTGCTGACCATGAAACAAAATAAGTAAATTTAGTCATCTATGATGTTAATTAAATCTTGCATAAAGATGCATTTACCACAGTGGGGACCTCACATATAAAAAAGAGAAGATAATACAATAAGATTAACTAAGCAAACTTGAAAGTCAATCAATTGGCAGAGAAATTGTAAGCAGAGTCTTATAACCTCTGTTTAAGTTGGTAGGGCACAGAAAGATAAGGCATTAAAGTATTTATTATATACATGCAATTATCATGTGGGTAAGTGTATTACATGTGTACAGATACATACACCCCAAAGTGAGTCAGGATATATGATTCAATAATGTATTATTTTGTCAGAGTAGGATGGAAATATACTCCATTCAAATGTGAAATAGTAAGCATAGGTCGAGAATACGCCTATAGAAGCCAATGCATGTGTTAGAAAGCACACCAAGTTCTCATTTTTTACAGTGATTATAATTTATTTCTTTATGTCTTTAACAAGGGGCTGATACTTTCAAGGATGATGGTGTCTACTCTAGGTACTTCACCGCTTATTCAGAAAATGGCAGATATAGCTTAAAAGTGCGGGCGGACGGAGGAGCAAATTCTGCCAGAAGCTTATGGCATCCATCCAGTAGAGCTGCCTACATACCAGGCTGGGTCGTGAATGGTGAGTGGCTCACAGTAGCATGAACTCATTGAATAATAGTCATGATTTGATATGATGGAAGCTCCAAACATTTTACAATTCCAAATAAAACTTTCCCCATTTCTAGAATGAGGTCTGTATAAAATTGTCTCTAAGTTAACCCAGTCTAAGCCTGGCATCCAGTAGACACTGAAAACCTATCAACTAGTATTATGTTAGTGTCGAACACCCTTACAGGGCCAACAATGATGTTTTAGCCTTTCAGCTCAGGACACAGCAAATAGCCTACTGTGCTAAAAGGACAAGTTCGAGCCAGTGGGAGAATCTATCCTCTGGGTTACATGAGCTTCGATGTTTTTAAGCTTCCCTCTCCTTGCTCCTTATCTTGTGACTTTAGGGGTCTTTTTAAAGCAATGGAATAAGTCAGGAGCCTCATTCCTTAGCACTTTCAGGATGGAGGGAAGAATGTCGTCTGAGTGTCAAGGATGGAACTGGCATTGATTTCCCCAGACACATTTCTAATAGGAAATAACTTGAGAAATAAAGTAATACTTTTCTTAATGTATATATAAGAGAGGCATGGTGACACATGTCTGTGACCCCAGCACTTAGGGGATAGAGGCACAATGCCAAGGATTTCAAGGTCATCTTTGGCTACATAAGTGCACTTGAGGCCAGCCTAAGCTTAATGCCACCTTGTTTGGTTTTGGATTTGCTTTGTTTTCTTAATTCGTATAACAAATTGCATAACATTCTCATTCAATGCAGTTTTCAATTCAAAGGAAGTTGTTATCCAATTTGATTTGATACCAGGCTGGTAAGGATTGTGGAGGAAGAATTTTCCCATTAACTGAATGCTTATGATTGTAGTACATAATAAAAATGCAGCTGTTTGAACGAAGAGAGAAAGAAGAAAGGAAAAACAAGTAGGGTCAGGGAGCTGACTGACTGAGTTCCAAATACCCTAGTACAGTTTCATCCAATTTAAACTAGAGAATTTTAAATGCAGGAGAAATTGAAGGGAACCCACCCAAACCTGAAACAACTGAGGCTACTCATCCAGTCCTGGAGAATTTCAGAAGAACAACATCTGGAGATGCATTTGTGGTATCCAATATTCCATCTTATCCATTGCCTGACCAGTACCCTCCAAGTCAAATCACAGACCTTCATGCCACAATTGATGGGGAAGAGATTAGTCTAACATGGACAGCACCGGGAGATGATTTTGATGTGGGAAAAGGTAAGAACAAAGAATCGTGTGGGTTTGACTTAAATGGGAGAAGTCCAATGTGAGTCAATAGTGATGGCTCAGTCAGAAGAGGGTGATTTTTTAACTGAGAACTCAGCACAGTAGGAATTTTGTGATCTGATATTTTATAATTTATCAAATAGGTCTTGCTTTGCATGCAAAGAGAGTAGCATTTAGCAGTGTTTAAAGGTCAGAACACAGTTTTTATTGAAAAATGAATATAACGTTTGATATGAGCATACTTTCCATGTTAAACATTTTTTAGAATAACCAGAAAGAAATTTAGTATGGTACGTTATAGCAACTAACCCACGCATAACATTTTTCTTAGTTCAACAGTATATCATAAGAATGAGTGAAAATATCATTGACCTAAGAGACAATTTTGATGGGGCTCTTCAAGTTAATACGACTAACCTGTTACCAAATGAAGCCAACTCCAAGGAAACCTTTGCCTTTAAACCAGAAAACATCTCAGAAGAAAATGCAACCCACATCTTCATTGCCATTCAAAGTGTCGACAAAAGCAATTTGACATCGAAACTGTCCAACATCGCTCAAGTAGCACTGTTCACGCCTCAAGCAGAGCCTGATCCTGACGGTCCTGGTAGTCCCGACGGTCCTGGCAGTCCTGATGGTCCTGGCAGTCCTGACGGTCCTGGCAGTCCTGGGGGAAGTCCACATTCTGGAGTTAGTATTTCCACTATTGTGCTGTCTGTGGTGGGCTCTATTGTACTTGTTTGTATTATTTTAAGTGCCACTATTTGTATCTTCAAGAACAGAAGGTCCTCATCAAGAGCTGTGACAACATTTTGAAAAGCAACATAAATAAAAAGATATTTCTGAGTTTTTAAGTACATCCCATGTGATCATGAACTCAAAAATAATTTCAAGAGGGTTGAAAAGATTGCTTTAAGAATATCCATTCATGAAAACTACCAATATTAATGTTTATAATTATATTCACAACATAAATAGTAATAAAAACTATTTTTATATTGATCTCCAGTTCTGTATTTTTTTCCTGATGCCAAAGTTTTCTGAAATGATACTTCAAATATTCTGGAGAAACTAAAAGTGTCTATTTAAGTAGCCAAGATACAACATAAAAGAACAAATCAACAATATTTAGAGAGAAGAAATGAATGTGGTCTCAGTGTTATCAATATAAGTTAATGGCATTATAGTAACTCAAAATCTCCAACTATACACTATCATAGTGAAGGTCATACTTACTGTAATTCATGGATATGGAAGATGCTATTTTAATATTTTACTTTTATTTATTTTGCATGTGTATGTATGTATGAATGCATATGTGTGTATGTGTATGTATTTATTTATGTGTGCATGTAGGTATGTATTACGTTAGGCTACTATATGTGCCACTGTGTGCATGTGGATATCAGAAGACAATTTGTGGGCATGGGTTCTCTCCTTCTGTCGTGTGAGTCCTAGGCATCAAACTCACTTAGTCATGATTGGCAGCATGTGTCTTTACTCTCAGCAATCTCACTGGGCCTATGATGATACTATTTTTTTAAATCAGATTCACCTGTTTATATTTCAATTCATTATAAACACCTCTTTTCTCTGAGAGTCCACCTACCTAGGCACTTTTTCATTCATCTTAAGAAAGAATTGTTGAAACTATAGTCCACTGATTTTTTCCAGAGAAAAGAAATATGTTAAAGACTTGTTTTAATCTATCACTCAGAGGCATAACCTAGGAGGCTCAAGCACATTGATGACTAAGATCAGCTAAAGATAAAGAAAGTAGGTTGAGACGAGTAGATCACATTGCAGGAAGTATTTACAATCCTCTGATGAGACCAAGTAAATACAAATTCGGTTTACTTTACATAACAACAAATTCGGGTGAGGAGGTAAAGAAAGAGGAATCCTTACTTTTGGTTGGTGGAGATGGAAATTGATGAATTGAAAGCAAGAGGTACCATATGACCCAGCTGAAACTTTCCTGGGTATACACACAGAAGCCTGTAGGTCCCATCACAGAAACACTTGCACATATAAGTTTACTCACAATGGCTAAGAAATGGAACACTCTAAATGTCCATCAACAGATGAGCAGGCAAGGAAAACATGGTGCACATGATGCACATTGAATTTAATATAACCAGCCATCAAGAGAAATGAAATCAAGACATTTGCAGGAGAATAGATAGAACTGGAAATTATTAGGTAAGCAAAATGTCCCAGACTCATAAAGACAAATCTCCCCTGTGTTTTCTCATATGTCAATTCTGTGTGTGTGTGTGTGTGTGTGTGTGTGTGTGTGTGTGTGTGTGTGTGTGTGTTCCTATAATACTTCTTGCCTCTTCAAGTTAAAGTTCCCCTTGACCTAGAATCTCTACTAGTATATGCTATGTTTTACCAAAATTATTGGAACATTTATGTGTATATATATATCTGTTTACCTATTCTTCATTTTTTCTTTACTAAAATCAATCCCATTAAAGTCATTAACTGTATAGGGATAAACATTTTGCACACTATGAAGATGTGTCTCTGCCAAGAAACCTTCTGATTGGTTTAATAAAGAGCTGAATGGCCAATAGCTAGGCTGGAGAGAACATGTGGGACTTCCAGGCAGAGATAGGAACTCTGGGAAGGAATCTGAGTGGTAGAGATTCACCAGCCAGACACAGAGGAAATGGGATTATGGTATGGAGGATAGATTACAAGCCACATAGCAGAACATAGATTAATATAAACATGTTAATTTAAGTTATAAGAGCTAGTTGGGAACAAGTCTAAGCTATGTCCAAACTTTCATACTTAATAAGAAGTCTGTGTCATTATTTGGGATCTGATAGTCCAAAGAAAGTCCAACTACAGTTAACAAATGTGTTGATATGCTCAGAGGCCATCTTTGTGCTTCTGAAGTCAAGGCTCTGAGTGAGGAGATGAGTGGTCATATGGTCAGAGGCACTCACAGCCTCCAGCCTGCTACCTGTGTTTATGAGGCAGTCTTCACTGACTACTCATATAGAAATGTCTTCCTATGCCTTTTGAGTCATCTTTGCATAATTCCATAGTTGTATCCTTTCTCACCCTAGTTAAATAAAGTCAGAACTTCATCTCCCAAAAACAATATAACAATATAATTTGATTGGATGTTGGGCAAATGATTAATTATCTTAATTTTTACCAAAAGTAGATATATAAATTTAGGAATACATTATAGAAAATTGTTTGGGTATTGATTTTGTTTGGTTTGGTTTGGTTTGGCTGGCTGTTTTGCCAAAGTTGGAGGGAAAATAATATAATTCTAAAACACAGCATTCACCCTCTTCATACATACCTTATGAATTTCTCTCTCAGTGTAATAAAACATCTTGCTCCCGTGCCACTCACATCAGAGACCACAGGCCAATCCTTTCATCTGCCAATTTCGTCACCACTTACACTCAGTCACTGAACAAGTCTTGCCCTCACACCCTCTCCCAAGGGCCCCTGCACACATGTGCTGCACATACATACACTCAGACACGTGCATACACATAAAATAATGTTTCTTTTCATTGTGCCATCTCAGCCTGTCTCTATCACCGGCTAGTAGAAACTGTAGTCCCTCCTGGTCTTTCTATATTTCATCTAACCAACCCATATATATCTCACTGACCTGGATACAGGATACATCCCATGCTGATTCCTAGATAAAATCTAAGGGCGTCAATGTGTCTCTAGGGCAGTGAAGATGCTTGTTTCATTTGTCACTTTTTTCAGTTACACAGCATAGAAAGCACACAATTGGCAAATAAAGGAGCCTCATTATCACTGGGCCTTGGCCCATCCTCTAGAGCAAAACTCTGCAACTCCCCTCTCTATAACTGGGCTGGACTCTGCATTGCACTCAGAGTGAGGCCTGCTCATGTAACTGACAATGCCCTTTCAAGGCTATCTCCCAGCTCACCTTCTAGCCTGTCCTCAGAATTCCTCTTGCCACACAGAGGGCACGATCTTCCCTCCATGGACTGCTATTCTCTGACTACGTCAGTCACTCTCCCTGGACCCTGAGTCTGTTATTCTCCATGAAGGTCACCTTCCATTATCCACCGTACCATATCCTACAGTCACCCGGTAAATCATGTTCATTTTTGTGTCTTAATGAGGGATGCTGAATTTCCTAGGGAGGATGCTCTCTCTCTCCCAACCTCCTTCCCTGAAGAAGGCAACTTCCTGTTGCCCTAGGCTCACTTTAGCTCTGTACTGTCCTGCTATTTACTTGTTCTGACTTCTCTCCAGATCGTGAGATTCCGAAAGGCAGGAGATAATCCCTTATTCATCATTACAGCTCCGATACCTATTGCCATGCTCAATAAATATTTGTTCATCTTTCTCTTGGTATCAGTTGAAGTGAATCAGTCCCTGAGCCAACAGAAGGACAACAAAGGAACCAGTATCCACCTGATGCTCGACACATAAGCTATAAGAAGGAAATATGATTCTTCTAGAGAGAAATGCTGACTCATCCCACTGAAATAAGAAAAAATAAAAGATAACTGAACTGTGTTCTCAATGCTTTTCTAATAACAAACTTGGAGTTACTTTCTCCTCATTTTGCAACCAGACTTTACCTGGTGTTTAGGCCGATCCAAATGTTACATGAATTTCCTTCTGCCTGACATGTTCTTTCAATTCCAGTTTATCCAATAACCATTTCAAGTTACTTTGAAAGACACAAGGCAAACTTGTCCAAATGCAGCAAAAAACATACTTCGCAGCCCCTCCCCACCCTGTTTTACCTCATATAAGCAACAGCACTGACCCACTGGGCATTTTTTGCAACTCTTGTTCCATCTCCTAGATTTTAATGATTCCTTTTCTCTTTTAACCTCAGAGAGGCCTTCCCTAACACCCCACTGTAGCTGGAGTTTTCCTGCCTGGCCCACAGTCAGGACAAATCTCTATCACCTGCCAGTCCCACAGCAGCTCAGACCCGACCAAGTAAACACAGAGACTTATATTGCTTACAAACTGTATGGCCGTGGCAGGCTTCTTGCTAACTGTTCTTACAGCTTAAATTAATCCATTTCCATTAATCTATACCTTGCCACATGGCTCGTGGCTTACCGGCATCTTCACATGCTGTTTGTCATCGTGGCGGCTGGCAGTATCTCTCTGACTCAGCCTTCCACTTCCCAGAATTATTCTCCTCCTTGTCCCGCCTACACTTCCTGCCTAGCCAATGGCCAATCAGTGTTTTATTTATTGACTAATTAGCAACACATTTGCCATACAGAACATCCCACAGCACTTCCCCCTTTTTTTTTCAAAAAGGAAGGTTTTAACCTTAACAAAGTAAAATTACATATAATTTGGGAATTTGGGCGTAGCTTCTCTTACTACTTCCTGCTGGAGGGGGGCGCTGTATCTTATGGGGAAACAAAGAAAATTTTAGGATTATGGAACAGTCCATGAGGCTGTATCGTCTGAGCCAGATGCCTTCAAACCGTTCTGGATGTTGGATCATCTGGGCCATGGTGTCATCGGAGACTTTCAGGGGGTCTTGGCTGGTCAAACCTGATGTATCTTAATCTGTAACAAATCCATAGCCTCTGGCTTTCTGTGGGAACAAAAGCAGAGTCTCCTTTCCAAAGCAACATATCCTTATATCCAAATTTTGAAGTCATGGTATCTTTAAAATATACATATTGGTTTAACTCAACATCTTTTATGATCAAATGTTTTTCTGCAGTTAAAAATCCCAAAGACAACACAATCCAGATTCTCTGTGTAATATTCATCTTTACGTGGCTTATTTTTTATATTAGTTTTACTGTCTCTTTAAA